GTTTTTACCAGGAAAGATGCTGAAAAAGCAGGCTGGCACCGATCGGATCGAGGCCACGCGGCGCTGTCTTTTTTTTTTATAATGCCACAGGGAAAGAAGGGCCTAACGGAAGAAATGTATTTGTGTGAAAGCTGGCAGTGCTTCAATGGCTCATGAGTAGTGTATGTGTCGATGTAAAGAGTGCCGAAGCTTAATATGTGTGAAGAAGTCGGCACTGCTAATGTGCCATGAGCATATCTGCGCAAGTAGATGTGAATGGGTGTGTGTGTGTGTGTGTGTGTGTGTGTGTGCTTTTTTTGTCAGAATCTCCACGCCTGAGTGATATTCCTTAGGAGCAACTCCTAGCAAACTTATAGAAGTGTGAGGATGATGAAAGAGCAGAAGAGGGACGACTTGTGAGGGGGAAAAGGAGGGTAGTGAAAGAAAACTGTTGGAAGCAATTTGGATTTATCGGCAGTAGTGCCTTATCGCGTGTTTCGCTGTAAAATCGTTTTCAGAAAAACAAATGTTAATTTTTTCCCCCTTCCTCCATGCTGGTGATGATTTTGTAGGTTGCGCAACTGGAAAGTCAAAATCAAGTGCTGAAACAGTTTGCTCCAGTGGATGTTCTCAATTCATTGGCAGCTCTTGTGCAGCAACACCAGCAGAAGCAGCAGCTGCAAGTACCGCAACAGCAGCTAACTTCAAGTGCCAGCACGCCTAATCCATTGCAGCACTCAACGACTCCTCCTCAGGTTCGACATTTTGTGTTAAGCAGATATTTGGATTGTATGGTTTAGCTTTAATTTTTAGCTCAAAACATTCCATTGGCATTGATTAGTGCCACATCATTTCATTGGCACAGTTTTGAAGTTTCCTTCATCTTCTAGAGGGACTACTGGCTCATCGTTTTCCTCGAGAGGAGCATTTGATAAAGCTTTAGCTCTTTTGAGATGTCTGTAATGTTTGATGAGTACTACCGCTTTCTTAGGTAAAACACCTTCTTAGGTCATTCCTAGTCCATGGTGAGGCATTTGGCTTACGATTTGTCATGCGTAGTCTTTTGTTTTAGTCTAGTGGATCAAATCAAGCACGTCATTCACTTGCATTATGGACAGGGTCACTAGAAATTAGGCCATACAAATGACCAATTCAGGGTAATGCAGGTAATATTACTTTCAAAACCGTCGAATTTTATCAGCAGGTGGCTTTTGCTAGCATTGTGTATACTGCTACTCGGGCTACTCGGAGTCCTTTGGTTCCCGATCGTGAAGCATAAGGGGTTTTAATTTTGATGTACAGCATTTATTAGATTATAAATTAAGGCCAGTATAACGGTCAGCCAGTCGAAGCTACTACGGTTACTTTGCAAGGCCACACTTCGGAAATTGCAGTATAATTTGCGTAAAATTGTATATTTTGCAAGGGGAAGTGTATTTTCAGTTCTCAGGCTTGATGCTTTCCTCAGTTTTTTAGTAAGAGCTTGCAGTGGTATTTAAATTATTGGTCTCGCTAGGTTTCATTTCTTTCGAAGCTTACTGATCTCTCAGCGTAAATAAATTTGCCTTTAGTATGAACCGGTAATCGTCGTTAGCCCAGAAAATTCTTAGAAATCATAAATTTCGTATGGTGTACAAATGAACCAGTGGTATTTCGCTGCAAAGCGCGAGCAAACTGGTTCTTTTTTTACAGATGTTTTTTCGCCTTTGAGATAGATTGAAAATTTAAATGGGAAAAAGAAATTAATTTTGCTGAACTACACGGGTGACCCGAAGGAAGGCTGTACCGGAAGTTGGCATTTGCTAGAATTTTAATTAATTTTTCTCCTTCACATTATCATCGAGATTGTTCGGAAAATGGGTACAATGTTTGCGTCATGCAGCCATGTACCGGTCCTGCCTTGCTTTATTTGCACATTCATAATTTCTTTTTGAGTCGTTCGTATAATTACTTTTTCCAATGGATTTCACTGTGACACGTACCTCGCGCTAAATGCAACTAGAAATTAATATTATTTGGTTTTTTCTTTTTTTTTTTTTAAAAAAACTCGTTGGATTGTTCACATTGTGTTTACAGTTCACTGCATGAAGGGAGAATCGGGACATTACAGTTTTCCGGCATAGGTCGCTTTGAGAGCGCTTTAATTAATGGAAGGGTTGAGAAATTTTTTATATTAGCATTTTTTTAATTTGGCCATACTTGTCATACCAGAAAACGCGTTTTGCGGCAGCCGCACTTCACAGGAACAATGAATAAGTAAGGCTTGTTTGCGCAAAAGCCCCCCTGGAGCATATTTATTTATTAGTGAATGAATCGTTTTTGCTAAATTTAACGGCTTGTGAGTAGCGACTGTATCGAACAAAATAACTGTACGAAACAGTCCGGAAAATTAAGCGAGCCATGAAATTTTCGTCTGATTCTATAAACTTTGCTTCTCTGTTTGAAATGTTTTGTTCCAGTTATTGAATATTTGTTTTATTTTATTTTCTTTTTGACTACATTTGACCTGTATCTTATGTAAAGTCATTTGAGACCACAATCGTCGTACTGACGTGGTCCAGTTTGGTACTCAGCGGGAATGTCTACGACTCCTTAGCCTAAAACGCCTTTGTTTAGTTATTCAGAAATGTTCCGGTCCTTGAAATCGTATAAATTTCTAATGAGCACCACAACTGAACCTCGTCCGTATAACGACTGCA